AAAAAAAAAAAAAAAAAAAAAGACAATTAAAAGAAGAAATTCATGAAAAACAGAATTCAAAAAGTAAAACAAAAAGAAGGAAAGACTTCTAAACTAGAGAAATGAATAAAGAGATTATTGAATGTCCACTTTGAACTACTGATGAGATAGATGGGTTGAAGTGTTTTGGTAGAAAAAGATATTGTATACTAAAAGCAATAGGGACCAGAGATACAGGTTCGGAATCCATCTGTTAGAGCTGAAAATTGAAGACACCAGAATGGTTGAGTTTGCCAAGAGATAAAACATATAAGCAGCAAGGCATCAAGAACAACATCATGGAGAGTGTCCATGTTGAGGTTTGGAAAAAATGATTAAAAGAAATTGGCAGCGAAGGGACGTTCAAGGAGGAGGAAGAAAACCTAAAGATAGCCATGTCTTGTGTGCCAATGAATGAAATGTTTGATAAAGGAGGAGGAAGGTGTCTCAGTGTCAAATGCTACAGAGGCATCTGTAAGTGAAGAGTTAAAAGGACAAGTTAATGTGACATCTGAAAAGTTGTAGTTAATCTTTGACAGATCTATTCATATAAAGTGATCAGGGGAAATGCAGGATTAAAGAATAAGAGGATTGTGATAGTAGAGGCACTGGATTTAAGAGTGAGAGAGTCGTGGCAGTTCATGAATGCAGACATATCTTAAGATCAGATGGTGAAGAAAAAGAAGATGGAGAACAGCTCAGCTAGTGCAAAGTCAGAGTAAGGTTATTTGGGTTTTATTTTTAGGATAGGAAGAAATGACATTTGTAGGCAAAGGAGCCAGAAGCTGGTAAGAAAGAAATGGGAAGGCAAAATTCTCAAAGAAAGCACAAGAAGATCGAATTAAGAGCACAAGCTTAGATTAACCTTGGCAAAATACAGATGCCCATTAAAGAAAGGGAGACAGGTGGTGTAGGACTTAAGACAGAGAAGTATTATGACACAAAGAAGTGAGGTTGATTTGGTCAGGCTCTGAAAATTAGGAGTCAGCGCTCTCACTATCACACAGTTGGTTTCAAGTGATGGCTGTGGCCAGACATCTAGGACCACAGCTGAAAGTCCTCGGTACAGCAGTTGAAAGAGAAATAGCCCTGGAGACAGGAATTAAGTCCATGAGCTTTAATAGTATTATCTTCTTCTATTAAAATGTACCTGCAATAGAAAAAGATACAGTAAGTATAAAGTATATTTTGGTCCATCCATATGATAGATATGCAAATAAAAATCATGATTTTAGAAAACATTTCATAGCATGGGGAAAAGCTAACAATAAAAAGTTTTAGTGAGTATAGAATATAAAATTCTGTATAGTAGTATGTTGTTAAAATTGTATAATACATTAAAATATCACAAGAAATATACGAAAATGTTAATGTTATCTCTCAGTGATGAAAATATAGGCAATTTCCTTTTTGTACTTTTTAAATGTTTTTTAAAATTCATGCAGTGAGTAGCTGGAGCATATCATAGAGAGCTCATCACAGCATTAGACAGGGCCATGTCCACAGCCAGAGATCATATTTACAAAGATAAGACAAACTAACAGATACTTCAGAACTAGGGCAAAGTTAAGGAATCTAGTTGAACTCAAAAATCAGTCAGGGAGTTCGATAACTAAGATCACTAAGAGAAAAAATAAAGCCTCATTTCAGTTAAATGAGTACCCTTTGGTGTTTATTTAATCCTCCTAGTAGAATGTAGTTAGGTAAAACCTGTATACCTGCATCAAAAGGTGAGGTAGTATGTCTCACAGGTGCTAAAACAGAGGAATTTTTATAAGACATATCACCAAGAATCAAACTTCCCTAAAATACCATTACATTCATTCCCAATTATCAGAGTAGCATTACATTTTCACCTCTTATTTTATTGCTGAAACTACATAATTGTTGTCCCTCGAAAGTACTGAAGTAATACATAGGACCCAAATAGTGAAATTGACTAGTGAAAACATTCAGTATTTGTAATCAAATCATTTTCCATTATAAAAAGTATCTACTGACAGTATATATTGTCCTTTTTTAGATTTTAAGATGTGTTTCCAAAATTCCTGGTCCTATTTTAAATGCTACCCCAGGGAGCAGCAAACCCTGGGTCCCAGGTCAAACTAGGCCCACTGAAAACAAAGTTTTGTTAGAACACAGCCATGCCCACTTATATTTGTACTATTTATTGCTGTTTTCTTTCTACAATGTGCTACAGAGTTGAGCAGTTGACAAGAAACCTTGCAACCTGAAAAGCTTAAAATTCTTATTGTCTGGCCCTTTACAGAAAAAATGTAGCCCATTCCTATGCCACACAATTCTTAAATTCTATATACTTAAAAAAAGTTGTTCTTGCTGTTGCTTAATAATATTCATTATTTTGTCTTAATGATCATTCTTTGAGATAACTATACGTATTTATTAACTAACTGTTGTTAGGTTACCAGCAAGCAAGTTCATCATACAAGATTCAAATGGCAGAAGTTGGAGGATTAGCAAAAACAATGGTTCAGGCAATGACCTTGCTTGAAAACCAACTTGTTGAGAAACTATGGGTACTTAAAGCTCTGCAGCATCTCTCAACTTCTGGTTTGTATATTATTAAGTTTAAATGCTTCATTGTCAACTACTTTTGTTTCCATCTAACAATGTCAATACTGTAAAGCACAAATAATTTTTAAAATTTATTTTCAGAAGTTAATTGTAGTATAATGATGAAAGCACAAGCAGCCAGTGGAATCTGTGCTCACCTCAATGACCCAGATCCCTCTGGACAGCTTTTATTTCGTTCATCAGAAATACTTTGGAACTTGTTGGAAAAATCTTCAAAAGAAGAAATCCTACAACAGCTTAGTAACTTGGAATGTTTGCTGTAAGTGTATATGGTTAGATAGGAATGTTCTTTAAATCTTAAAATGATAGCCAGTGACATAGCTAACATCTTTGTTTGAATCCATGTTCAATTACGTTTTAGTTTCATGTAGTGGCTATGTTTCAGGACATCTTTTTTTGTGCCATGGTATAAATGAATCTGCACAATAACAGGCCACACTTTTCTATATGGAAGTCTCTTGAAGTAGCTTCTTAACACTAAGTTATACCTTGGTATATACACAAAGTAAAATTAGACTTCAGAAGAACTATTTCATTTATTTATGCAGTGAATCTATTATTGAGTGCTTACTATCTTCCAGATATTGCAGTAAGCATTAGCAACAAAATGTGAGTAAGCCTTCAGGTGGCTTCTTCACTTATTCAGCAAGTAATTATCTGCTGTATGCCAGCTTCAGTATTAAGCCATAGAAATACAACTGAAAACAATACAGATATTGTTCCTGCTTTCATGGAATTACATTGTGCTAGAAGGGATGGACAGGTAAACAGACAACTAAATGAGAACATACTAAATGTTATAAAAGAGATCATTGTAAGATGCTACATGTTCTTCAGAAGAAGGTCAGTCAGCGCATTTTTGTTTGCAAGTGACTAAAAACCCAACTGACCAAAGCAATATAGGAAATTTATGCCTCATTTACCTACAAAGTCAAAAATAAAACTGGCTTCATGTGCAGCTTTATTCAGGGATCTGCAGTTATTAAAACTTGGTCCCTCATCTCTCTACATTGTCTTCCATGGTGTTGGCTTCACACCCAAGCCTATGTAGTAAGACTTAAGAAGCCTAGGATCACATTATCTCAACCTCAAATCAAGCTTGCAATCCTGAAGGCTCAGAGAAAAGTCTTTGAATTGAGTCCTATTTGGCCCTGAATGGTCTAATACTGGTCAAATGCCCAGTCCACGGTGATTTGTTAACGCCAAAAGAAAGAACACTTTGGTGAAAAGGCAGCTGAAGACAGCCTCACAGAAGCAAAAGTCAGGAAGAAATAAATGACTACATAAAAGATAAGGATACTGTTATTATAAAAAAGGGCAAGTAGGTCCCAGGAAGCAAAGCAAGAAATATCTAATATTATTACAAAGGGAACCTAATTCAGAGTTAATTAGCAAAATCAGAAAACTAAAATTCAATGTGATGAGAGCAGAGGAATAGGCTACCATGGTGAGAGATAATGCTAACAATGTTATCAGGGACCACAACATGAAAGGCCTAATAAGCCTTGTTAAGGAGGCAGTACTTTATTCTAAGAACAAAGAGTAGTCTTTAAATGATTTTACAAAGGAAAATGACATGATTGAATGGATTATAGAACTGTCGCTTTGACTACCATGTATAATAGACTGGTTTAGTGTATTCTTATCTGGTACACAGAGAATTAGAGGCAGATTTGGAACTGTAGAAAAGGTTAGAAATATGTTCAAATGAATAATATAAAAAGGGAGATTTTGTTCATAACATTTAGGTAGTATTTCCATAAAAGTGTGTGTTTTAGTTTGGGCTGCTATAACAAAGTACCATAAATTGGGTGGTTTATAAACAGCAGAAAGTTATTTTTCATAGTTTGGGATGCTAGAAGTCTGAGATCAGAGTGCCAGCATGGTCGGGTTCTGATGAGGGTGCTCTTCTGGGTTGCATACTGCTGACTTCTCTTACCTTACATGGAGGAAAGAGAGCGAGAGAGCTTTCTGGAGTCCCTTTTATAAGGGCACTAATTCCATTCATGAGGGCTCATTAGCACACTAAGGCCTCACCTCCTAAAACCATCACATTGAGGGTTAGGATTTCAATATATGAATTTTGGAGGGATGTAAACATTTAGTGCATAACTATATAGTTTTAAAAATATGATTTTACTTTCTAGGGCTTTGAAGGAAGTATTTAAAAATCTGTTTATGAGAGGTTTTAGTCATTATGACCGTCAGCTTAGAAATGACATATTAGTGATCACTACAATTATAGCTCAAAATCCTGAGGCACCAATGATTGTAAGTATGAATCAAATTACATTAATTGTGGAAGTGGTGGGTGCAGGTGAAGTCCTATATTATGTTGTAATATTTGTGTATTTTGTTGTAATGCTAAGTTATGCTGTAATATTACGGTGGTCACCAGTGTGCTTATCACTCTGCCAATTCTTCTTTGCAATCCTTTGGAAATTTGGAATCTTTTTCATATTGTATGATTTATACACGTGTTTTCACTTAGGATGCTTTTCTTTCCCCCCTGATGATTCAAGTTTCCATCTGGCATCATTTTCTTTCACTGGAAGAACTTTCTTTACAATTTCTTGTGGGGCAAATCTGCTGGCTGCTGGCAACAAATTATCTTGGTTTTCTTTTATCTGAAAATATATTTAATTCATCTTAATCCTTAAAATCTATGCTCATTGAATATAAAACTCTAGGCTGAAAACAATTTTTGTTTAGCATTTCAAAGATAAAATTCTACTATCTTCTGGAGTCTATTGTTTCTGATGAGAAGTATTCAGTGTGAGGTTCCATGGTGTAATGGTGAGCACCCTGGACTCTGATGAGAAGCATTCATTATTTCAAATCATTGTTCCCCTATGTATATCATTTTTTTCTCTCACTGTTTTCAAGATTTTCACTCTATGGTTTTTAGCAGTTTTGAAATGATGTGCTAAGATGAGATTTGTATTTGTTCTGTTTAGATTTCATGGAGCTTCTTGGATATATAAATTTAAGTCTTTAATAAGATTTGGAGAACTCTTGGCCATTATTTCTTCAAATATTTTTTCAGACCTAGTCTCTCTCCCTGCTTCTTCTGGAATTATTATTATTTTTTTAAGTAGAGACAGGGTTTCATTATGTTGGCCAGGCTGGTGTTGAACTCCTGACCTTGTGACCCACCCACCTCAGCCTCCAAAGTGCTGGGATTATAGGTGTGGGCCACCGCACCCGGCTCTGATTACTTTTATGTTCTACTTTTTGATATTGTCCCACCGGTTTGTGAGACTCTGCTCACTTTTCAATCATTTTTCTCTCCATTCTTCAGATTGGATAATCTGTATTAGTCTATACATTTGAATTCACTGACTCTTTTTATTTCTGTCATCTCCATTCTGCTGTTAATCCCATCCAGTATATTTTTGCTTCAGATATATTTTTCAGTTTTAGAGTTTATTTTGGTTCCTTTTGATAGTGTCACTTCTGAGAGTTCTTATCTTTCTATTTATTATGATCATCTTTACTATAGATTCTGGTGTACTCTCCTGAAGAGTATTCTTTTTTTTTTTAATGACTATACATTTAACTTGGCAGTACTCATCCCTTTTGGGTGTGGCGGCCCAAATCTCAATTCAGTTATTGCCTGGGATGCTTGAGTATTCTCTGCACTTGTGTGGTTCAGACATCAGCCAGATATTTGGGAAGAGTTTGTACACAGACTTTGGCATTCCTCTCTCTGGCTCTCTCCTTTCTCTTCACTTTCCAGTGGATGTGGTTGCCTCTGTCCTCTGGCTTCAGGCCACTAAGATCACAGGATTACTCTGAGTTTTAACATTCCCACAAGGTATAGAATATGGCCTGCTCTCAGGCCAAAAGCCTTTTTCAAATGGGAAACTCATTTCAAATGGGTAAATGCCATTACCTTCTACAAAATTCTAACATACTTCCAGTGTCTGCTTACTCTTGGTTACAAGATAGTTGTATTTGTCACTAGCAGGAGAATTTCTCTTGGAGCTACTACTCATCTGTACCAGAAGCTGAGCCTTCACATATTTTATAATGTAAAAATCACTGAATGATTGAAATTGTGTAATAGAGGTCCTTGTCAAAAGTATTCACACGTCAGGCATGTAAGTTATAGTTGTGCTACAAAGAACTGGCTGGGAAGACCTCAGCCCACTAACAGTGGACAAAAAGTAGTCCCAACATAAGAGTTATGGAATTCATACTGTGCAAATAGGGAAACAGTACTACATGGTATTCTAGTTAAAACTGCAACATAGGTGAACCTTTATATTTCTCCAAACATAGGTGCACCTTTATGTTTCTCTAGAAGTCCCTGATCAGTTGGTAATTTCTCATTAGTGTCCTTGAAAACATTCAGATGAATTTCACGAATCTAAGTTGAAGTGAATAATATGTTCACCATCTGAAGAAATCATATAGATCCTAAAGTACCAGGAATATAAAACTACAAGCTCGTAAGTCTAGGGTTTGCCCCTGTAAACTGTCCCTAATATGCAAAGTCCAACTAGGATATCTCTGACAGGAATGCTGACATGCTAAAATGTTTGCAACTCTGGTGATTCCTCAGGGCTTTTCATGCTAAATAGGAACTACTTTATTATCTCTTGACCAAACATTTGATGTAACAAGAATGGTTGGGGTAGAAGTGGAGGTGTTTAAGAAGAAAAGCTGTTAAGAATAACTGGATTTTCTTCCCTTACTGTGTCATTTGAAGTATAGATAATGAATTACAGAAGTAACTATAAAGACCTAATATATTTTGGATCCTTAACAAATTTTAAACAGACTATTCATAGAATAATATAAAGTATTTCTTAAAACCTACAGAAATTTAAAATTAAATAAATCTGGGTTATTTAATGTTAAATAAGCTTATTTGGCTATATGTTTTTACTTTTTGCTTCACCTTTTATTGCTATTCATGCTTTATGAATTCAAATGAATGACAATAGGAAAATTTGATAAATGTACTTAAATAGTAAATATGAGCATCTGCATCTTAACTTTCATCTTATACATTCATCTTTATTCTTGTTTTATGTATTTATATTAGGAATGTGGCTTTGCTAAGGATTTGATACTGTTTGCCACCTTTAATGAAGGTAAAAAACATAAAACTTTAAACTTCTTATGAATATCTTGATGAATCTTATACAACATTTAAGCTGTCATTTTATGTTTTTTTTTCCCTCACAGTTAAAAGTCAAAATATTTTGGTAAAAGGACTTAAGCTTTCTAATTCCTATGAAGATTTTGAGTTGAAGAAATTACTGTTCAACATAATTGTGATCCTATGTAAAGATTTACCTACTATACAGGTAAAGAGTAACCAAGGCAGAAAAATTAATAAAAATTATCTCACTTTGTAGTATAACTTTTTTAAAGTCCTGAATGTAAATATTTTATCAATTCATATATTTACCATAAAAGGTAGTAAACTCTTACTGGCCTGAATTTTAGCTTTTAAAATTTTTCTTTGCTTATCTGTTAGTAAATTTAAGTACCTAAATTTAAACCATATAAACCAAAGAAAAATAGTAGAACCTAGGAGATTTAATAATACATTTAGATCTCTTGAATTAAGGAGCATAAAACGAAAGAAGCTCCACATAGGCATATCCAGCTTAATAGTCTGTTTCTGACCACAGTAACAAGGACTGATTTAATGCTGGAAAAAATTATTAACCTCTGTGACGCCAATCTTAAACTCTTATGAACCTGCTTTTTCTTTTTTTTTTTTTTTTTTTTTTTTTTTTTTTTTTTTTTTTACAGAGACACACAGTTTATTTAACTATACATCTAAAATACATAGCATGCATAATTAACAAGCCAACATGGAAAAATGAAAATTGAACCTGCTTTTTCATCACACAAACCTAATGTCTTTAATTACTTTGACTTTCTATGAATCTGTTTTTTAATATGTTGTTTTCTGCATAACAACATGATGTAATATGAAGAACACTGGAACTGAATTTCACTTCTGGCTTATCACCTACTAGCTATGTGGCCTTAGCAAAATTACCTTATCTATCTGTGGTTCAGTTCCTCTTTCTGTAAAGAAAAGATTACAATGCTTCAGCTCTGCTCACAGGTCTACTGTGAAGTTGAGATGAAGGCTTTATAAACTATAAAGTGATAGTAAATGTATTTTTAACAATACTGTTAGTTTAGTTACCGCATTAAGTGAAATTTCCTTTTAGTCCTAAAACTCTACCAAGCTCCAAGGATTACCATGAAAACGAAGTAGGAATTCAGTCTATCAACATCACTACCAAAAATATAAAGATGGGATAGTCTAGCAGTAAAGGCTTTAGTCAGACAGAATCCCAGTGCTGCCACTTTGTGGCTATGTGGTGTTTAATGGGTTATTTGATTTCTCTAAATCCCAGATAGCTCAACTTCAACGTGGGGATAACGCCTACCTCAAGATTATTATGAGGATTTAACTGAGCTCAGCTTTTTCTTAGTAATGCAACTTTGAGGAATATATATATTTTCAAATGCTCAGGAAAAGAAAAATTATCTTTACAGTTATATCTTTATCATTTGTGACCAAAAAAACACATACTGTGTAGAACCTAAATGTATTTTCCAAAATGCAAATGGAAAATCATTTGGAAAATTATTCCATAAATTATGATTTATTATTCTAATAGAGTATTATATAAATATTAAAATTAGAGCTATAAAGATAATGAAATTTACACTACAGTTTATAAATCAATTTTAATTGATTAAATAACATTTTATAAACAACAGAGTCAAGTAGCACAGATTATGGTGAGCTTCTTAAAATACTTTGTGAGCAGCGAAATCACCCATTTTTATGTGTCATATAATTTGTGTTCCAGTAATATTACTAGTAATGATAATGAATTTGTATACTATCATTTGCAACACAGGGTATTTTTGAAACATTATATACCTAATTCTAACAACAATGTTAGAACTAGTAGTTATTCCTGTTTTCTCAACTCTAGATCTTGCATTATTTTCACATGGACTAGTAGGGAATTAGAAAAATTGTTTTTGGGAAAGTCTTTTTAGAATAAAGCCAAATTAAAAGAAAATTAAATATAATATAGCATATGATGTTTTCTTCTCTTGTGAATCATAAATATGCATCAATCAGAATCAACTATACTAATTCTGTTGTCATAATAGCTGTGCATTTTATCTCATTTTTATTAAAATGATGGAGTCAATAAAATTTAAAAATACTAGGCATATAATTAAACGTGGCTTGTGACCTAACTGACATTTATTTGGTAGAATGTTTATGTTGCATGTGTTTAAATATTCACTGTAGTCATTACGTCAAACAAAATTATTTTTTATGGTACACAACTGAATCTGTGATACATTTCCTTTTTAAAAACAGAGTGAGGAAAGAAATATCAGCATTTGCCCCCAAATATTCTACTCCTATGGTTTTATCATAAGCAGTAACTAAAGTACATATATGAGCACCAAAGACAAAAAAATAACACATATTTTATATTATTATCAGAGCATAACAGTCCTCAGAAAAGAGAATCATAACCAACTGGTATTAAATTTTTCTGGTTTTTTTTTTTGGTACCTATCATAAGTCGGGGTTATTTTATAAAGGAAGTATTTTGAAATAGTCATCAATAAAACATCAAAATGTAATTTTTTAATTTAATTGCCTTAGATAAAATAAAGTAGTTTTAGCCATGTTTCTAACAAAGCATCCTTTGTTCTTTCTCATAGCTATTAATTGAGGGCAAAGTTATTTTGGCTTTGTTTACCTATGTTAAGAAGCCTCAGAAACAAAAAACAATTAACTGGTCTGCAGCACAGTATGAAGAATTACAACTGCATGCAATTGCCACTTTGTCTTCAGTGGCTCCTTTATTAATAGAAGAATACATGTCATGCCAGGGAAATGCTCAAGTCCTTGCATTTCTAGAATGGTGTGAGAGTGAAGGTGAGTGGCCCTTCAAGATTCCTGTCAAAATTCTCATCTTCAAATTTCAACTGGATGCTCAATATATGCTTAGAAATAACAATGAAGTTAATTAAAGTTACAAGAAGTAAAAACATGTAGACCTGACTTCTTGTTGTTTTAAGAAAAATACAGATTTTATTTAAAGTCAGACATTAGTAAATGTCAGAGTTGATGCACACTTAAAGAAATCATACATGTAATTTAAAATTTTGTATTTTTAGATCTATCTAAACTCCTGGAAATATTTTATTTGCTTTGTTTGTTTGTTAGTTGAGACAGGATCTCACCCTGTCACCCAGGCTAGAGTGCAGTGGTATGCTCATGGCTCACTACAGCCTCAACCTCTTGGGCTCTAGTGATCCTCCCACCTCAGCCTTCCCAGTGACCGGGACTACAGGTGCATGCCACCATGCCTAGCTAATTTTTGTATTTTTTGTAGAGAGGGTTTTGCCATGTTGCCCAGTCTAGCCTTAAACCACTGGGCTGAAGCTATCTGCCTGCCTTGGCCACTCACAGTGTTGGGATTACAGGTGTGAGCCTGAAATCAATTACAATACTGCCTAGCCTAGCAATATTATAATGCATTCATTCAACAAATATTTATGACTGCCTAATGGGTACTAGATACTGTTTCACTACTGAAAATACATTTAGGCTTAAAACAAATAAACATCCTTTTCTCCATGGAGCTTAAAATCTAGATCTCTATGTATTTTATTCTCTTTGTAGCAATTGTGAATGGGAGTTTGCTCATGATTTGGCTGTCTGTTTGCCTGTTATACGTGTATAGGAATGCTTGTGATTTTTGCACATTGATTTTGTAATCTGAGACTTTGCCAAAGTTGCTTATCAGCTTGAGATTTTGGGCTGAGACGATGGAGTCTTTTAAATATACAATCATGTCGTCTGTAAATAGAGACAATTTGACTTCTTCTTTTCCTAATTGAATACACTTTATTTCTTTTTCTTGCCTGATCTTCCAATACTGTGTTGAATAGGAGTGGTGAGAGAGGGCATCCTTGTCTTGTGCCATATTTCAAAGGGAATGCTTCAAGTTTTTGCCCATTCAGTATAATCTTGGCTGTGGGTTTGTGAAGTCCCTCTTCAAGGAGAACTACAAACCACTGCTCAAGGAAATAAGAGAGGACACAAACAGATGGAAAAACATTCCATGCTTATGGTTAGGAAGAATCAATATTGTGAAAATGGCCATACTGCCCAAAGTAATTTATAGATTCAATGCTATCCCCATCAAGCTACCAATGACCTTCTTCACAGAACTGGAAAAAACCACCTTAAATTTCATATGGAACCAAAAGAGAGCCCACATAGCCAAGATAATTCTAAGCAAAAAGAACAAAGCTGGAGGCATCACGCTACCTGTCTTCAAACTATACTAAAGGCAACAGTAATCAAACAGCATGGTACTGGTACCAAAACAGAGGTATAGACCAATGGAACAGAACAGAGGCCTCAGAAGTAATGGCAAACATCTACAACTATCTGATCTTTGACAAACCTGACAAAAACAAACACTGGGGAAAGGATTCCTTATTTAATAAATGGCGTTGGTAAAATTGACTAGCCATATGCAGAAAGCTGAAACTGGATCCCTTCCTTACACCTTATACAAAAATTAACTCCAGATGGATTAAAGGTCTAAACATAAGCCCTAACACCATAAAAACCCTAGAAGAAACCTAGGCAAAACCATTCAGGACATAGGCAAGGACTTCATGACTAAAACACCAAAAGCAATGACAAAAGCCAAAATAGGCAAATGGGATCTAATTAAACTTAAGAGTTCCAGCGCAGCAAAAGTAGCCATCATTAGAGTGAACTGGCAACCAACAATGGGAAAAAGATTTTGCAATCTACCCATCTGACAAAGGACTAATATCCAGAATGTACAAAGAATGTAAACAAATTTACAAGAAAAAAACAACCCCATCAAAGAGTGGGCAAAGGATATGAACAGACACTTTTCAAAAGAAGACATTTATGCAACCAACAAACGAAAAAAATGCTCATCATCACTGGTCATTAGAGAAATGCAAATCAAAACCACATTGAGATACCATCTCATGCCAGTTAGAATGACGATCATTAAAAAATCAGGAGACAACAGATGCTAGAGAGGATGTGGAGAAATAGGAACACTTTCACACTGTTGTTAGGAGTGTAAATCAGTTCAACCATTGTGGAAGACAGTGTGGCAATTCCTCAAGGATTTAGAAATAGAAATACCATTTGACCCAGCAATCCCATTACTGAGTATATACCCAAAGGATTATAAATCATTCTATTATAAAGACACATGCACACGTATGTTTTGTGGCACTGTTTATAATAGCAAAGACTTGGAACCAACCAAAATGCCTATCAATAATAGACTGGATAAAGAAAATGTGGCACATATACATCATGGAATACTATGCAGCCATATAAAAGCATGAGTTCATGTCCTTTGCAGGGACATGGACAAAGCTGGAAACCATCATTCTCAGCAAACTGACACAAGAACAGAAAACCAAACACCGCATATTCTCACTCATAAGTGGGTGTTGAACAATGAGAATACATGGACACAGGGAGGGGAACATCACACACCAGAGCCTGTTGGGGGGTGGGGAGACTAGGGGCAGGATAGCAGAGGGTGGGAGTATTGGGGAGGGATAACATAAGGAGAAATACCTAATAGGTTTAGATGACAGGGGGTTGGAGGCACCAAACCACCATGGCATGTGTATACCTATGTAACAATTCTGCACAATCTGCACATGTACCCCAGAACTTAAAGTAAAATAATAATAATAATAAAAATCTAGATATCTAGCCAGAAGTAATGACTCCAATGTGGTCTACCAAATTAGTAGAGCCCCAGTTTGTTTGTATTTTATTTAAGTTCTTAGAAAGAAAAAAGAAATACATTCATTTTTTAAAAGTTTTATAAGGAAGATATTGCTTCTTTTCTGTTAGTAATTTTGCTCTGGAAATAATTTTCTACAATGCATTTTCATTAGATCAATCACCCATTTATGCATGAAGGAGGAAAAAATGATAACCTTTTTATTCTCTAGTTTCCAAATGCTGAGCTACTAAATTTAGTCTTATAAAATTATTTTTCACTAAATAAAGCAGTTCTTCAGTCTATCCTTTATATCATTTATGTTTGTAGAAGACTTTAAGGCAAAAGGGGAAATGCTATCTAATAAGAAGAGAACTGATAACTAATAGTTATTCAGAACCTACTATCTGGTCGGCCTTATACACCTTCCAAGTATTAAGTCACTTAGGCCTCTCAACAAACCTAAGAGGTATAGGTATTATTATTATCCCTGTTTATCAGATGGGTAGAACTCAGTCTAAGAAGTTAAATAACTTATTCTTGGCCACAAGTGGCAAAGCAAAGATTTAACCCAGGTTCTATAATAGAACCCACAATTTTAACCAACATGCAATACTCAGAACAGTATTTTCAACTTTTTTTAAAACTGGAAACATAAAGCTACTTCTAAAAGTAGCTTTTAATGAAAGCATAGCATAAAGAAGGGAGGATTTGCCTTGATACTTATCAAGACCTACCATAATGCTATTGTAATTAAAGTTATGTGGTACTGGGTCATGGACAGTCAACGGCATGGAGTACATGGAAGGTTAGCATTATGAAAGATGATATTGCCAATCAGTGAGAGAAGGATGGTGTTGGGGCAGTTGGTCTTCCATGTGAAAAAATAAGAATTAGATCTTTTCACTTTGTTTTTTTTAAAATCAGTTGCAAAGTTAATAAATTGATGTAAATTTGAAAAGTCATACAGTTGAAACTGTTAGAAGAAAACATGGGAAAATATCTTTATGCTAGATATCAGGATAGGAAAACGTTTCTTGAAAGACTCGTAAGTTTAAGGTACAAGAAAAAATTGATGTATTTAAGTACTATAAAATGTACAAATGTCTGTATGACAAAATCTAAGTGAAATACTAATCTACAAATTGAGAGAAGACATTTACTACCCCTGTGACTGATAATGGATTAAAATCCAGGTTTATAAAGAACTCCTACATATCAACAAGAAAACAACTCAGTAGAGAAGTATGCAAAGACAGGGACTGCTATATCACAGAGAATTTTCAAAAAAAATTTTTCAAAAAAAAAAATTAAAAACTCTCAATCCCATTGGTAATCAAATAAATGCAAATTAACATAACAGTGAACTATCACTTCAAATTTAACAGATTTCAGAGAAAATCAAGACCAAGTACAGTAGCTCACAACTGTAATCCCAACACTTTGAGAGGTCAAGGCAGGAGGAACACTTGAGGCCAGAAGTTCAAAACCATCCTGGGCAACATGGCAAGACCCCATTTCTTAAAATTAAAAAAAAAAAAAAAAAAAGCTGGTCATAGTGGCACATACCTGTAGACCTAGCTTCTTGGGAGGCTGAGGTGGGAGTATCACTTGAGCCCAGGAGATTGAGGCTACAGTGAGCCATAATTGCATCACTGCAATCTAGCCTGGGCAACAGAGCAAGATCCTGTCTCTTAGAAAAGAAAAATTAATTCATCTTATACATAGTATCTATATAAATACCTTGGGAAACAATTTAGCACCTTTAGTAAAATTCAATGTGGATATATCCTATATAATTCTAGTCACATGGAAAAACTCTTCTTAATGGATAGAAGAGGACATGAACCAGAATGTTTATTGTAACAGTTTATACTAGTGAATGGATAAACTATAATTCATTTATTAAAAATGAATGCTGAAAGCAATTAAAATGAATAATCTATATCTACTTGTGACAATATGAATAATTTTAAAGCAAACATAATCTTGAGTAATAAATAGAAGCAAGTTGCAAAAGATACACATATGATACATTTCAGTAAAATTCTAAAACATATTCTGAGAATAGAAGGAGGGAAAAGGAGTAATATTTTACTTCTCTAAAAAAACTAAAGCAAATATGACAAAATTTTAACATTTGTTTAAACTTTTGATAAATGTATAAGATATTTGATATATTGTTTTGTTTATTTGAAATGTTTTTGTTTTAAATTATCAATTTTTCTCCACAGATCCGTTTTTCAGTCATGGTAACAGTTTTCATGGTACAGGTGGCCGAGGCAACAAGTTTGCCCAGATGCGCTACAGTTTACGACTCCTGAGAGCCATGGTCTACCTTGAAGATGAGACTGTAAACACAGATCTTTGTGAAAAGGGAACAATTCAGCAAATGATAGGTAAAATATAACATGGTGGTTTGCCAATGAAAGAGGAATATTTATAATAGAAGTAGTTTTGTTAGAAATGTTCTTCTAAAATTTATTTTGTCTTTATGATTGAGAAGCTCCTGAATATTTTCTTGATTTTTGTTTCATTTGTTTCATATTGTTGCTATAAATCAGTTTTTCTTCTTACTGAAATATCATAATCACTAACCCTTTAAACATTTATTTCTTCAACTCAGATACCATTTCATTTAGGATTATCTTTATCTTTTTTTTTTTAAATGAGCTATTCTACTTTTTTTTTTCTTTTTTTTAGACAGAGTCTCTCTCTATCACCCAGGCTGGAGTGCAATGGTGTGATCTGGGCTTACTGCAATTTCCGCCTCCTGAGTTCAANTCAGATGATCCACCTGCCTTGGCTTCCCAAAGTGCTGGGATTTTACAGGCATGTGCCACTGTGCCCAGCCATGAGCTATTCTTTTTTTTTTTTTTTTTTTTTTAGACAGAGTCTCTCTCTATCACCCAGGCTGGAGTGCAATGGTGTGATCTGGGCTTACTGCAATTTCCGCCTCCTGAGTTCAAGCGATTCTCCTGCCTCAGCCTCCCAAGTAGCTGGGACTACAGGCGTACACCACCATGCCCAGCTAATTTTTGTATTTTTTTAGTGGAGATGGGGTTTCACCCTGTTAGCCAGGATGTTCTTGATCTCCTGACCTTGTGATCTGCCCCCCTCTGCCTCTCATAATGCTAGGATTACAGGCATGAGCCACGGCGCTCGGCCAGGTCACCACTTTTGGCCAAGCCTTTTGGAGCTATTTTAAAACAAGATAACATGGCATTTCCAATGCACGCGTCATAACAGAACACTGGTACATTGGCATTTACAGAAATGTACAGAGGAGTTTCTTTTCTGATATGAAATATCAGAATATCCTTGACTTTCAGCTTATGCTTGACTATGCCTAATCACCATATCCCCTAAAATAAGTACACATAAACCCAGTGTAAAATTCAGAACCCCTAAACAAAAGCTGCTTTACCTTTTGTTATTTAAAAAAGTTATCTAGATCATACCTTTCCTTGACTTTGAAAAGAGTTATTTCAGTCATTCATATGCAGTGATTACTTCACTAGTCAATTATATTATCTGGTAGATGTTAATGTTAATTATAAATGCCTACTCAAAAACTCTTCTATTTGTTAAATTAAGGTGCTTACTCTTTCATCATTAGTGGAGTGGGGTGGTGCTCTCTAATAATAGTAATATAGAAAATAGCAGGAAATCAAAGTATATTGAAAAGGGAGCTAGTGAAAACATTTACCCTTTTGCCCAGTTTGTTTGGGATGAACAAATCTGAAAGTGCATTTTATCATTCCTGTGCACATTCTGTTGCATAAAACTCAGTCTAACTAGTGGAAATCCAGGAAATATAATCTTTCATATGTCTAGGAAGAAGTCTTAATCCTACCTGCACTAGGGAACAGGGTAGGGAAAAGGGAAAACAAATAGCAATGGTTCTTCTTGTCTTAGAACCTTTTCCCCTTAACTGAAAATAAGCTGATCTTTATGTTAAGTTATTGGAGGTAGGGACCTTTTCTAACTGAGTCTAACAGGGCTTTGTAGTGGTAATGTGCTCAATAAGTAGTAACTAGATTATAAATGTAAATGTTTATACACTTTCTGCGTATAGTATACACTGCTTGGGTGTTAGGTGCACCAAAATCTCAGAAATAACCAATAAAGAACTTAGCTATGTGACCAAAAACCACCTGTTCCACAAAATCTATTGCAATAAAATAAAAATGTTTATATACTTTCTGTGTAGACACTGGGGTTACAAACATGTATAATGCAGGACACTGAGGACATTTTCCTTAATGAGAAAATAGAAACTATGTATATCATAGAAAGATAGCATTTGTTACCCTACATGTCATCAATTAGACACTTAATGCGTAGTACAGAATAATGTGACAGAAACTAAGAGGCTTGGCTAGCTTTCCGGGCCAGGAAGTCAGGATTCTGTGAGGTAAGGGTAGTGTAAAGAGGTAGAAAAACAGACATAGCGCTCAAGCAGGGAAATAGCATGAACAGGGAGACATGGTCCTGAAATATGCATGGTGATGTGTTCAGAGCTAGTTTAAGAGGAGCCAAAGCTTTATGAAGACAAATGACATAAGATAGGTTAATTATATAGCCAGAGGCCAAGCTGGAATGAGTTTTGAGTGATTGACAACAGTTCAAACTTCATCCTCTTAAGGCATGGAGAGCCGCAAGGGGTTTTGATTAGTGACGTATGTACAATGTTGTATTTTAGGAAGAAGAATCTGGGAGAAATAGAATGATCTAGAACAAGAAGACAATAAAGGCAAGGAGTTGAAGGGTACTTAAATATGGAGCATTATACTATGTTACAGACAGCAGGAAATGTTACTGCCTGCGTTCAGTTGGGAAGGAGAATGAGATAGTCTAGAAAGAAGCAGCAGACCTATGGCCAATCAGATTGGATTCCTAGAAGATGTTCCTGATAAATGGAAATAGGCCCCTCTATCCATGGCATACCCCAGCACTGGGCCTCCAGCTGGCTCAACTAGCCTCCCTTAGGGTCTGATCCCACACCTGTAATTCATCCTACTGGGACCTAGAATAGTCCCTCAGGGACAGTTATAGAGATAGGCTAGGATTTCCATATCCCTTCTACTTTGGAACATAGCTCCATACTTTTCTGCTAATGCCAGTGACCCCCTTTAACAGAGAAAAGGTGACTTTTGTTCTTTATTTAAAGCTTAAAAAAATCCTTTTTGAGGCAACATTGTATCATGAATATAATTTCATCAGCGTTAGTGGCCCCTTTTCAGTCCTGTTCAATTTCGATTGGAAGCAAGAGAGGGATTTTAAAGGACAAGGAATACTGTTACCTAAAGTTGTTTAAAACACCTTCAGTTAGACATCAAGGAAAGTTGCAGAAGATAGTAACAGGAATAGAAAACACACTTAAAAAGATCTGCCGCCTTTGCTTAGACTTGACCCTGTTAACCATGAGGAGAGGAAGAAATCAGGCAAACTACAGTCAGGAAACATCTTCATATATTTGCAAAGGTACTCATTTCCTACCTCATGAAACTCTGCATATTTTTAAACATAGTTTGCTCAGCAAAATGTCAGGTTATTGGGGCATCCTTTAATGACACACTATTAATTCTGTACTAGAATTTCTGTTTATGTGAGGCTACAGATTATATTGAGAAATTCTATATATGTAAGTAGGGCTACTGATTGTATTGAAAACTGTAGGAATTCATTTATCATCTTTTCATAGCCTCTAGGTTACTATGCAATGAAAATGTCCTCTTCTAACATAGTTTCTCTAGGCTGGGCATGGTGGCTCACACCTGTAATCCCAACACTTTACGAGGCCCAGACAGGAGGATTACTTGAGCTGAGGAGTTCAAGACCAGCCTGGGCAACATAATGAGACCCTGTCTCTTTATAACAAATAAAAATAAGTAAACAAATAAAAGTTTCTCTAGCCAAACAAGCTTTTTAGAAGAGATTTCCAAGCAGTAATTGATCGAAATTTTTAAAAGTATCTAATAACTATACATCCTTTAAATGTTTTCATACCAGGAATCTTTAAAAATATAATAAGCAAGACTAATGAAAAGGAAGAAGCCATTGTTTTGGAAATCCAGTCTGATATATTACTTATCCTATCTGGTCTTTGTGAGCACCATATTCAAAGGAAGGTATGTATGCCTGTTGCAAGTTTTGTTCAGGGCTCCCAGTCACCTAACACTATAAACTATTTTTGTAACTATCTATAATTGTATTTAGTTTTGTGAAAATTTAATATTTTTGTTAATAATTAGAGTATAATTATATAAAGTAAAAGGTACAGGATATACAATGATATACACCCATTTCACTAATACTCTAGTTAAAACAGAGAATATTTCTCTCTATATAAAATTTCCTCATCCCATTAGAAGCCATCCCCCCACTCACCTCCAGACAAACTACTATTCTGTTTTCTATTACTATAGGTTGGTTTTGCCTATTCTTTAAGTTTATATGAATGGAATCACACAATTTATTGTTTTATGTCTGGATTGTGTCATCCAGCATCATATTTTAGAAATACATCCATGTCGGCCAGGCGAGGTGGCTCACGCTTGTAATCTCAGCACTGTGGGAGGCTGAGGCAGGTGGATCACCTGAGGTCAGAAGTTCAAGACCAGCCTGGCCAACATGGCAAAACCTTGTCTCTACTAAAAATACAAAAATTAGCTGGGCATGGTGGCGCACACCTGTAATCTCAGTTACTCTGGAGGCTGAGGCATGAGAATCACTTGAACCCAGGAGGTGGAGGTTGCAGTGAGCCCAGATCGCACCATTACACTCCAGCCAGGGTGACAGAGTGAGGCTCTGTCTCAAAGAAAAAAAAAAAAGAAATATATCCATGTCATTCTATGTATCAATAATTCATTTCTTTTTATTGCTAAATAGTATTCCATTGTATGAATATACCAAAATTTGTATATCTGTTCCCCTATTGATAGGTAGGCACTTGGGTTCTTTTATTTATGGCTATAGTGAATAAAGCTTTGGTGAACATTCTTGTACTAGTCTCGTACTAGTGCATAATACTTTCATTTCTCTTGGGTAAGTACCTACGAGTGGGGAATTGCTGTAGGTGTATCTTTATCTTTATAAGAAACTGCTAAACAGTTTTACAAAGTGGGCTGTACCATTTTAAATGTTGTCTGGGGTTTGAATTGGGTTCAAACCTAAAGCCAAAAGTTAGAATGAGATCTTAATCCCCTTTTATCTTTTTTAGCTCTATAGTGAACTCTGAGTCTCAGAGATTGATAATTTAAATATTAAATAACAAGGGATGGAATTGGAAAGATAAAAAAAAATGATGATTTCAGTAGATAGATTTTAAGTGAATACCTGCTTAGCTCCAAGCTTTGATGCATCAAATTTCTCCTCATATTCTACCGCCCTGTGCCTGGGCTCCTCTGGAAAAATAATCATGATCTTGCTTACTGGGAACCAGACCTGAACAACAAGGCAATGAGAAAGGTACTTAGAGAAAAATATTAAGTGGTTAAAACTTCACATAAATTATTAAAGGTTTTAACTACATTTATATCTTATTTCCCTCTTGGGGTCATTAAAAATCATGATAGTTATTACCATATAATAATTGATCTGGCATAATGCTAGACTGCATTGATTATAATGTTGAAGAAAACAGAATTGCAAATTTTATGACTTTAGGAGAAAGGGAATAAAACAAAAAATCTAAAGGGATATTATTAAACTCGCGTGTTGATTGATACCCCCTCTTAAAATGATTAGTTTTTATAATAATTGGTTTTAAATTCCTGAGAACAAGTAAGTACAGTTTTTTAAACTGTAGTAAAAGCGGTATTTTTCTAACAATGTTGCTGTATTTCTCTGGTAGAAAAACAATTTTAGGGGATAAAGTAGGAAATGAAGGAATTACTTATTTCAAGAAATAATTTAAAACAAATATCTTAAACAGGAAATTTTTGGAACTGAAGGAGTAGATATAGTTCTTCATGTGATGAAAACAGATCCCAGGAAGTTACAGAGTGGCTTAGGCTATAATATACTTCTTTTTAGTACATTGGACAGCATTTGGTGAGTATTACTGTAATCCAATAAGGTAGACTCACAGCAGTCATGCATCACTTTACAACAGTGGGGATACATTCTGAGAAATGTGTCCTTAGACAATTTGGTCTTGTGCAAACTTCATAGGGTGTACTTACACAAACCTAGACGATATAACCTACTACATACTTAAGCTAGATGCTGTAGCCTAAAGGCTACAAACTGTGTCATGTTACTATACTGAATACTGTGGCAATTGTAACACAGTGGTATTTGTATATCGAAACATATATAAACATTTTTAAAAAGTACAGTAAGACTACAGAATAAAAGATTTTTAAAAATAGTACACCTGTAGAGGGCACTTATGAATAGAACTTGCAGTATCAGAAGTTGCTATGAGTGAGTCAGTGAGTGAATGGTGAATGAATGTGAAGGCCTAGGACCTTATTATACATTACTGTAGACTTTATCAACACTTTACGCTTAGATTACACTAAACGTATTTTTAAAATATTTTTCTTTTCTCAATAATATACTAACCTTAGCTTACTGTAATATTTTTTACTTTATAAATGTTTTAATTTTCTCTAAGTTTTTGGCTCTTTTGTAATAACATTTAGCTTAAAATACAAACACATTGGCCGGGCACAGTGGCTCATGCCTGTAATCCCAAAACTTTGGGAGGCTGAGGCGGGTGGATCACAAGGTCAAGAGATTGAGACCATCCTCGCAACATGGTGAGACCCCATCTCTACTAAAAATACAAAAAAAAAAAAAAATTATCTGGGCGTGGTGGCACATGCCTGTGGTCCCAGCTACTCGGGAGGCTGAAGTGGAAGAATACCTTGAACCCAGGAGGTGGAGGTTGCAGTGAGCTGAGATTGAGCCACAGCACTCCAGCCTGGCAACAGAGCAAGACTCCATCTCAAAAAAAAAAAAAAATTAGCTGGGCATGGTGGTGCATGCCTATAGTCCCAGCTACTCAGGAGGCTGAGGCAGGAGAATCACTTGAACCCGGGAAGCAGAGGTCGCAATGAGCCAAGATCACGCCACTGCACTCCAGCCTTGCAACAGAGTGAGACTCAGTCCCCGCCAAAAAAATACAAACACATTGTATAGCCATACAAAAATATTTTTTCTTTAAATCCTTATTCTATAAGTTTCTTCTTTAAGACAAAATTAAGTTGCTTTTATTTGTTAAAAACTAAGATACAAACACAAATTAGCCTAGGCTTATGAAAAAATATTTGTGTGCATATATTTTATTACACTTGCATAGATATTTCTGTCCAGTATACACCTAGATGTAAAAATGCCTAGATCGGGGCACTTTTATGTCTGTTCAGCTTTAAGAGATAATACCAAAAAATTTTCCAAAGTACTTATATCAATTACACCTTTCCCAGTAGTGTGAAGATTTCTCCTTGTTCCACACCCTTACCAACACACTGCACTGTATCTTTCATTGCAGCCATTCTTGGGGACTTGTGTGCCAGTGTCTCTTTCTAGTTTTAATTTTCATATTCCTGATTACTAACAAGTTCATTTGCCATTTGAATAGCCTCTTTTTTGTGAAATCCCTACTCAAGTCTCTTGCTTTTCTAATTACCTATTATTTTTTATTGAGTTCTTTATACGTAGTAGACATGAGCCTTTTTCTGTTACATGTTTGTCAAATATATTCTGCTACCCTGAGGTTTACATTTTCACTCTCTTCACTCTCTTTTTGTTGAACCAATAGTCTTAATTTCAGTGTGGTCTAATTTACTAGTCTGTTTTTTTATGGTCAGTACTTTTAGTGCCCTGTTTAAGCAGTCTTTTCTTACCCCATAATCATGAAGATTACTGCCTGCATTTCTTCTAGACGCTTTATTGTTTTGCCCTTTACATTTAGGCCTATAGTCTACCTGGAATTGATTTGTAGGTATGGTGTGAGGTGAGGTACAAGTTTTACTTTTTTTTGTATGGATGTAATCCAGTGCTGTTTTTGGATAAACCATCCTTTACCCACTGCTTTGCAGTACCTTCTTTGTACAAATCAAATGTCCATATGTATTTGGATCTATTCTAGGATTCCTAAACTGCTCTACTGGTCTTTTGTCTATCCTTCTGTAATATTGTGCTATTTTAATAACTAGGTCTTTTTAATAAGCCTAGACATCTGGTAGAGTAAGTCTTCCTACTTTTTCCTTCCCCATTAAGATTGTCTTAGCTTTTGCTGACCCCTTGCATTTAGATATTATATTAGTCAAGTTTCCCTAGAGAGACAGAACCAGTAGGAAAAAACAGAGAGAGAGAGAAAGATAGATTGATATTTATTATAAGGGATTGGCTCACACAATTAGGAAGGCTGAAAAGTCCCAAGAACTACCATCAGCAAGCGGAGTGCCCAGAAGTACTGATGGTGTCCTTCCAGTCTGAGACTGACAGCCTATGGACCAGAAAACCCAGTTGTCTGGGTTGCTATGGCATTTGTAAACCATCATTGTGCTGGTGAGAGTGTAGCAATAAGGACAACCAAAGGTCACTTTTATCAGCATCTTGGTTTTGATGGGTTTTAGCCAGCTTCTTCACTGCAACCTGTTTTATCTGCAAGGTCTCGATAACCTGTATCTTATGCTGACCTCCTGTCTCATCCTGTGACTTAAAGTGCCTTAACCATCTGGGAATGCAGCCCAGTAGGTCTCAGCCTTATTTTACCCAGCCCCTATTTAAGATGGAGTTGCTCTCATTCAAACACTTCTAACAAAATAATCTTAACTGCAAAGATGAGATATAATCAATAATTATCCCATATTTGAAGTGCACCAACATCTTGAAACAGCACATATACACCATGGAATATTATGCAGCCATCAAAAACGATGAGTTTCGGTCCTTTATAGGGACATGGATGAACCTGGAAACCATCATTCTCAGCAAACTGACAGAAGAGCAGAAGATCAAACACCGCATGTTCTCACTCATAGGCGGGTGTTGAACAATGAGAACACATGGACACAGGGAGGGGACCACTACACACTGGGGTCAGTTGGGGGGAAATAGGGGAGGGACGGTGGGTGGTGGGGAGCTGGGGAGAGATAGCAAGGGGAGAGATGCCAGATGTAGGTGATGGGGAGGAAGGCAGCAAATCACACTGCCACGTGTGTACCTATGCAACAATTTTGCATGTTCTTCACATGTACCCCAAAACCTAAAATGCAATAAAATAAATAAATGGGAAAAAAATAAAAATGAAATAAAAAAAAGAAACAGCAATGTCGACAAGGCCTGTAAACATTTTACAGAATTTCATTCTGAACCCAGTATGACTGACTGGTCAAGTCCTGAGGCACAGTTTTTTTTTGTTTTTGCTTTGCTTTGCTTTGTTTTGTTTTTTGAGATGGAGTCTCATTCTGTCACCCAGGATGGTGTGCAGTGGCATGATCTCGGCTCATTGCAACCTCCACCTCCTGGGTTCAAGCAATTCTTCTGCCTCAGCCTCCTGAATAACTGTGAATATGGGCATCCACCACCATGCCCGGCTGATTCTTGTATGTTTAGTAGAGATGTCATTTCTCCATGTTAGCCAAGCTGATTTCAAACTTCTGACCTCAGATGATTTGCCCCCCTCAGCCTCCCAAAGTGCTGACATTACAGGTGTGAGCCACCATGCCCAGCCTGAGGCACAGTTTTAAGATGTCCTGAGAACATGTGCCCCAGGTAGTTGGGCTATGGCTTGGTTTTATTCATTTTATGGAGATATAAGACATCAATCAGTACACATAAGATATGCTTTGGTTTGGTTCAGAAAGGAAGGAACTCAAAGCTGGGGTTTACAGGTCAGAGATGGATTCAAAAATTTCCTAGTTGCCATCTGTTGAAAAGGGTAAGTTATTATTTAAAAACCTGGGATCAATAGAAAGGAGTATCTGGTTTAAAATAATTGATTGTTGAGACCAAATTTCTTATTATATAGAATAGTTGGTAAACATAAAAGGTGTCAGATTTAGTTAAATCTCTCCTGGATCAGGAAAATACTTGGAAAAGGCAGGAGATTCTCTGCAGACTATATATTTTCCCCAGAAGAGAGAGCTGTGCAGGGCCATTTTAAAGTAAGTCAAAGGAATATATTTTGGGTAAAATACTTTGATTTCTTTCAGAGCCTACTGTCATATGGTGCTATACTGGAGTCAGGTTGGAATTTGGTGTCTCATTGCTGTGAAGGGTCTGTTTTTTCATTCTTAAGATCTCTGTTTTAATATTAATACTGGTCAATTGTGCCTAAATTCCAAAGGAAGGAAGGTATAATGAGACATGTCCAACCCCTCCATCCCATCATGGCCTGAACTAGTTTTTCAAGTTGACTTTGGAATGCCTTGGCCAAGAGAAGGGTCCATTTAGTTGGTTGGGTATTTATTTTCGGTTTACAGCAACAATAAATGGATATACCTTGAAAAAAAGTTTCTAAACCAACCAGAGAAGATCACTAATAATAATTAATATTATGAAAGCAAAGGAGAATGTTTCATTTGTAGGAAAGAAATAGGCAGTTATGAAAAAGAATTGATACTGGTTTTTAAAAACATTGAAATTAAACAACACTGGTAAAATTTCTTCAAAGTTCCATTTTTTTGGGTAAAACATTAGCTACTTGATTTAAGGAAATGAAGAAAACATATTCTTTGAAAATGCTTTCATAAAAATAAAGCTGTACAAATTGAGTTTAACAATAAATGTTCATCAAATGAATAACTTCCTTTTAATTTAAGGTGCTGTATTTTGGGATGTTATCCCTCAGAGGATTACTTTCTTGAAAAGGAAGGCATTTTTCTCCTTTTGGATGTGTTGGCAGTAAGTATGGCTATAGCAATTGTAAGATAAAAGAAAAATATGATTAATAAAGAACTTTTCCAAATTGAGTACCATAGGGCACTATTTTATGAATAAATGTGCCCCAAATCATGTTCAAAGGTACTATTTTAAACAAAATTGCTCCTAGAGATTCATAATACACAGTGTATTAAAGGCTCTAAGAATTCCTCCAGTTGAAAAATCACGTTACCAGTGTTTTTTCAATGTTTTCAAATACACGGGAACAAATAATTTGTTTTGTTCTTGTACTCCATCAACCTGCTAAGAAACAGTTAGTGAAGAGCTTGACCATATCAAAACCCATAGTTATTTATTAATAACTTCTAGTTTCTTCCCTTGGTATTAAAAGATAAGGGCCACATTAGACAAGGAGCAAAGATAAGCATTTTTAAAGAACTATGTATTATTTGGAGGTAATGTAAAGAAGTCTAGTGTGTCATGGACCATTGTTTTACAGAATTAGCAGGTATGAGCAAGCTAGGCCTTTCAAAAGAGACAGTTGCCATCTAGCAGCTGTGAAGAATATAATCTTTACTAGCCTCAATTCTAACTGGAGTCCATACTCAAGATGATATGGGAGGAAACGTACAGTTTTGTTTCAATAAAACTTTGAGAGAGAGTTTCACACAGAGTTCTAGCCAGATCACTGTCTGTGATTCTGTGATTGCCACCATTCTTGATTTTGTTAACAGAATAACAAACCTACTTTGATTTAGCAAAGGAGCTAAAATTATTTATGCCCCTTAACCTCCCTGAAATTTAGTTCATTTCTCTCCTTTCGATTTTTCTATCTGTAAAACAGAGATAACAACATAATATATCTTACTGTATTGTTGGAAGGATTAAATGAGTGTATGTGTGTGTGTGTGCATCTAAGTGTGCATGCATACATATATATTATGGATTAAGTAGTAACTAACACATTTTCCTGTTAGCTGTTATTATGAATATAACTAATAGATTGTGTTTAATGCTGATTCAATCAAATTAGTTGCAAATTACAAATATTATTTAATGAAATTTTTATATCAACTTCAATCTTTCACGTTTGCCTGTCTCCTGAAAGTGAAATATAGAAATTTAAAAAAACTTATTTCCTTGAGTGTTTTGCATAATGCAATTCTGCTGAAATATAAAGTATGCAATGATAACTGCTAATAGTGGTTAAATATTAATGAGAGCTTACTATGTGCCAGGCAGTCTCATATAATTCATAATAACCTTTTGCAGGTAATATTATTAACCTTCATTTTATAAAAGGAAACTGATAATGTTTGCAATTGAAACAAAAGCTTACACATTTCCTTTGCTATATTCAAATAGCAGTACATTTTTTGAAAAACGAAAAGCATTTCATATAGAAGCATTAGATTATGGAAGCCATTGCTCTGGATGCAATTTTCTATACCTAAATTTTAGCCTGCTGAAAGCTACTTGTAGCAAAATAAAGGAAATATGCTTGATAATAGGAGAATTTTTTTGAATGCTTAAATACTCTTTTATGGATTATGATTGCCACAAAACCAAATTATATCTTATTTTATTTTCATATATGACTGTCACTTGCAGTTACCATCAGTTATTCTCCTAATAACAAAGAGATTACAGTTAGCATGAATCTTTACAAGCCTTAATAAAGCATATAGATTGGAAAGATCCTGTAATTACAGTGAATTCTGTATAGCACTATTGAGCTTCACCACTTAAAATGAACATCTTCACTTATTTTTGCAAATTTCCTTTTTCCAACTCAACCACATCCGTCACATTTTGGTCATGACGTATGTTTATAATAACTTCAGAATTACATTAAATCTTTTTATTTTTTAAAATTTACAATGTTTGAAAATGTACTCATTACAATGGGTTATCCATTTTAACAGGAGATTGTCCTGACTCTGAGTTTAGAAGAAACTTAATGGTAATGCAAGTGTTTCTCTTTTTTTTTTTTTTTTTAGGGCAATAATTCTTAATATTTATTGCAACTTTTTTTTCTTTTCTGTTTCCTTGCTAAAGTTGAACCAAAAAAAATTCTGTAATCTAATGCTTGGAATAATGGTTGAATTTTGTGATAATCCCAAAACTGCAGCTCATGTTAATGCTTGGCGAGGGAAGAAGGATCAGACAGCTGCCAGTCTTTTAATTAAATTGTGGAGAAAGGAGGAAAAAGAACTAGGAGTAAAACGTGATAAAAATGGGAAGATCATTGGTGAGTATATTTATAATTGTTAGTAGAAGCAATTGGATGTATTTTTAAAAAATATATTTAAATGGTATTAAGAAAGCATCAGGACTTTCACCCCTTT